AGTGAGAACGTGAGGGAGGTGGGTGGGGCTCAGTCCAAGAGAGCAGATCCCAGGGAGGACCAGCCCCGGGCTTGAGCGCAAAGAGAAGGGTCTGGAATCTGAACTATGGCACAGAGGAAAGTACCTACAAAACAAAAGCAGACTCACAGACATAGAGACTTGCGGTTGCCAGGCGGGTGGGCTGGGGGTTAGGGAGAGGGATGGACTGGGAGTTTGGGCTTAGTCGATGCAAAGTATTACATTTAGAATCGATAAACAATAAGGTCCTACTGTGTAGCGCAGGGAACTGTAGCCCATCTCCTGGGATAGACCATAATGGAAAAAAATATAAGAAAAAGAACGTATATATGTGTATGAGTCACTTTGCTGTACAGCCGAAATTAGCACAACACTGTAAATCAACTATAATTCAATAAAAAAATTTTTTTAAAAGAGAAGGGTCTGGTTCCTAAGTGCGTGTGCACACATCAGCATGCATGGGATTAGGCACATGTGCATGTTTATGACATGAATGTATATGCATTTGTGGGAGAGGGCTCACAGTCATGCATACGTGGGTATATCTCTTACCCACCTGAAAATAGAAGGTGAAGAGCTTGGAAAGGATCAGAGGGCTCCTCCTAGCATACCTGCAGCAGGGCAACTGCTTTCTGTGATTGCCAAGGCCCTTCCAATCGCTGCCACTAGCTCAGCCAGGAAAATACATATCATTTTACCCAGTTATGGATGCTCAATGACTCCTCAGACATCATCAATGTGATGTAAATTTAAGACACGTCAGCCAAAATATTGGCAATCTACAGAATGAGGTTGAGGGCTAAAAATCAATGTTTTTCAAACCAATCTGCAGGACGGCTTCCTCCATTCAGGATTCCAGCTCTGCACTTCTGCCTTTTCCAGAGAGGAGCAGATGGCGGGGAACCCTGACAAGGAGGTCTGTGAGCAGGTCCTGAGTCAGTAGTCAGCTTTGGAACCGGAATTCCCAGATTGGGTTTCTTGCCTGGAGGATGAATTTCAAGGGCCAGAGGTCCTGCCTATGTCCAGAGTGAATGTTTTGGAATTCACAGTCAGAAAAGCAGAATTCAGAGGGGAAGTAGGAGAATTTGGGGGGGGGGGTTAAATTAATTTGGAAGAAATGGGGAAAATTCATTTGGAAGGCTCCATTTAATTGTAGTTAAGAGAAATGATGTAATAAATTTGGATAATTTAATTATCCCAAGAGACATCTGCTGAACACAATCTAATCTTTGTTTTTAAGTAGAAAAGTGCCCTCACTCTGTAGGAAAACTGGATGCAGGGAAATACAAACATCCAGAGCCCGACTAATGGAACAAACTGAACAATTCTAATTTCAGTTTCAGAAGAAAAAGCAAATCACAGGAAAACAAGCTGATAGAGGATTTCATTTTTAAAAAAATCTCCAACACTATGTCTGGGCTTGATGATGTAAAATCAGCCATATCCTGTACTTTTCATACCTCTTCTCCAATATTAAGTAAGAAGATACCATGTGCTCATTAACTCAAGAAACACCTAACACATTACGGATGGGCCAAGTCGATATGTCTTGATTCAGTGCAATGTTCACAATAAGAATCCTTAGAGTAAACTGTATTATTGACAAAATATTCTCTGCCCCTCCCTCCCACCTCCCTACACATATATGCACCAGGCCTCTTCCTGTGGCGAGGATACACTCTCCACACCATTCCCTTTGGCTTAGCCAATAAAATGTGAGGGACAATGACATGTGCCACTTCCAAGCAGCAGCATTAACAGCCATCGCTCTTTTCCTTCTGCCAGGAAGGAGACTGGCATGTCTTCAGCTTCTGTCCCAAATAAATGACATAGAGCATAGCTGCTGCCAAACCAGAGTGGACATGGACATGAACTGGAAACGAGCTCATGCTGTTGTTGTAGCCACTTAAATTTGGGAGTCATTTGTTACTGCAGCATGACTTAGCCTAAGCAAGCTGATACACCTACACTTACACACACACACACACACACACACACACACACACACGCACGCCCGCACGCACGCACACACACACACATACTATAAGACCCTAAGACCCAAGAGTCAATCTTCAAATACCTTTTTTACTTAGCGTTTGTTACCTCCAGGAAAGCGCTGTGCTGGGCACCTATCTCTAACTGGGAAAGGCTTAGACACGCTGGGGGAAAGATCCAGATGTGTTAATAAATGTATTTTTTATGTGAAGAAAATGAACAAATTCCTCTCAGGAAGAATTCTCAGATTTTGAAACCTTCTATTGCCTATGATTTCTGGGTAATCAAAATGTGACTGAATAAAAACTCAAGTTGGTAAAATAGATACATTCGGAGGCTATTAATTTTAGAAAAGGATTCTTCAGTTTAGAAAAGGATTTATTGGTTCCCTTGATGAACTCGTATCTCTTAAGCCCGTGACCTTTCCATCGGGTTAAGAAGCCCACAACCTAGTTGAGGCAATGAAGCAGTCAGTCTACCTGCATCAGGGTGGCCTTGACCCTGCCCAGCTCATGGAGGAGTCTAGCACCCCAGCTGCCACAGCGGCACTTGAGGCCAACAGCGTGCAAGTTCAGGTCCATACAGGGCCTCAGCTGATCTTGCCTGATTAAACCTCATGGGATCTAAGAAAGATGGATTCTGTGAATGAGGTTTAAAATGTTAATTTCCTCTCCCAAGCCTGGTATGTATGGGGGAAGACCCAGAAGAGCTTTAATCATAAAGATTAAATAAGACATTCTATGCATGCTCATCTAAAGCATTTAAAATATGGTTATAAGTACAAAAAGCCTGTGCACCCATCATGAAAAGTATCTGTAAAGGGATCCTGTATCTGGTAGAAAAGCATGGATAAATGCTGTGCTCTTTTAGGGAAGGTAGGACGAAAGGGAAGGAGCTGAGTGAACACTGCGGGGAATGCTGGCAAGTTAGCAGAAGGACCAAGTTAAAGAATTTATCCACTCACAGATCTTTAAGAATGAACCAAATGTATCTAACCACCTTCACTGTTATCAGGAACCACAAAGCCTGTAAGATACCCATGTGATCTTAGGTATAATCCTGCCTGAAACAACACTTGGCAACTGAGATTCCCGCTGGGAAGACCTGGAAAGCAGCAGGATCTGGTGTAACTTGTGGATGCAGTGATGAGAGCGGGTCATAAGGTGGCTTCAGGATCGTTCTGGTCTCTCAAGTCCAACCATTCACTGAGGGCACTCTCAAGTTCGGCTCCCCCAGCCCTGGCACACTCTCAATCTGGTGGGAGAAGTGAATGGTTAAGCAGAAAGACAGTCCATCTCCCTGGAGAGAGCAGAATGGGGGAGCCTCTTCCTATATGTCTTCCCTTCCACCCTTCTTGCTTCCAAGGCCTCTGGAGCCTTGGGGGAGAGGGGGGAGGAACCTTCTGGAAGGGGACTCAAAGGAGGTCCCAGCAGAAAAACTAGGATGAGGGGAGGCACTGGGGATGCCAGAGAGTGGCCCTAAGGAAGGGAGAGCCTGTGGAGCGGGGAGGACCCCTGAGCCAACACCCACTGCTCATGGACCCACTCGTTGGCCCACTTTTCCTAATGAGACTCACACGGGCACCAACAGGGCAAAGCAGGTCAACAGAGTAAACCATCTGATCACAGTGTCCCTCAAGCCACCAAATCTATAAAGAAATCATGGAGCCAGAGCTGCCTCGTGACTTACTACCCCACAGTCATCAGGGGTAATTGGTCAAGATAACATCTGAGAGTGGACCTGCCTGTGTTAAGAGTCCAATGCTGCACAGCGACAGACAACAAAGGTTAAGAGCTGAAAGAGTAAATGTGGGGTGAGTAGGTCCAGGACAGAGAAAAGCCAGGAGGCTCGGGTGGAGGAGACCGGCATTTAGAAAGAAAAGGAAGGTTGGAGGGGCTGGTGGAGGTAGGTGCTAAAATGACCAGGGGTCTAAGGAGACGGTATAATTAGGTCCTCAGCTGCAGAGGACTTGCCAAGTTATGGGATATGACTCAGTTTGCAGCTGTCTAGCAAATGAGTAAAGACAGGGATGCTGGCTGAGCAGCAACAGGAAAAGTAATCAAGAACCACTACACACAGTCCCACAAGCTGTTCGGAGAGAGAATTCTAGTGAGAACCCCACAGAAAAACACCCCAAATGAGTCCTGGGTGGCAGGTCAGTGGTAAGTGGAAAAGCACAGCTTGTTTCCCGGAAAACTTTGGGCCCTTCTCCAAGGCCACTGCCCACTCTGCTGCGGGATGGGCTCCAGCATAATTGCCCCTCGAGAGGGAAGTTGTCCCTGGAGGGAGGTTGGTGATGCGAGAGCTGCTGTGTAGGCGGGAACCCCACAGTCTCTCAGGTGGGAGCCTCTTCCTTGGTATTTCAATTTAGCCGGGACCCTTGAGACTCAAAATGTGAGGGGCGGGACTTCCCTGGTGGCGCAGTGGTTAAGAATCCGCCTGCCAATGCAGGGGACACGGGTTTGATCCCTGGTCTGGGAAGATCCCACATGCTGCGGAGCAACTAAGCCCGTGTGCCACAGCTACTGAGCCTGTGCTCTAGAGCCTGTGAGGCACAACTACTGAGCCCACGTGCCACAACTACAGAGCCTGCATTCTAGAGCCCGCGAGCCACAACTACTGAAGCCCGCCTGCCTAGAGCCCGTGCTCTGCAACAAGAGAAGAGTTCCCTTCTCATCCTCTTTCCTGCCAGCTCTAATTCACAGGAAAACGACCTTTTCCTAAAAGCTAGGTGATCCCTCAAAGAGATCAGTCAGGGGGCATGGATTCTCCATGCACACAGAGCTCTCATCAGTTCCCGACTTGAAACGGAAGTCTCTCTCATCCACCCTTATAAACAACCACTGTTTCCATAAGATCAGCAGAGCCCCCAGGACGGTCCCCACATGCTCCCAGACCTCCTGCTGAGGACGGTGTGGCACTCTCTCTGGCCCTGGGGGAGTGGCAGGCCGCTTCACCCCTTCCTACTCATCCTCTGGGTTCTCTACTATGTCAGCCAAAACCTCTGGGAGCCAGCAGTCAGGATTCAGTGCTGGGGCCACTTTGGTTCCTGAGCAGGGCTGTGCCCCTTCCTATATCACTAAAACTCAACTTGAACTTTAAAAATATTGGTTCCGGTGTCCTTGATGGTCCAGAAACAAAGCCCTCGTGTGGCAGACAGCCTCTAAGATGACCTCAATGACCCCTGCCTCCTGGTATTCCTGCTTTGTGGACGCCCCTCCCCTGAGTGTGGGCTGGACCATGTGACTAGCTTCTAATGAATAGGATGATGCAAAAGTGATAGGATGACACTTCTGAAATTAGCAAAAAGACTGGCTGTCATCATGCTCGCTGTCTCTTGTTGGTTCTCTCTCTGTCAGCTGCCATGTGGTGTGAGCGGCCGTCACGACGGAGGGGCCCACATGGCAAGGGACTGATGTCTCCAGTGAGGACCTGAGGCCTTGTACTGCCACGTGCTTGATCTTGGAAGAGGATCCTCTCCCAGTCCGTCCTTGAGCCTGGAGATGGTGACTGCCCCAGCCAACACCTTGACTATAGTCTGTGCGCAACCCTGAGCCAGAGGACCTATAGCTAAGCCGGGCCTGGAATCCTGCCCCACAGACCCTGTGAGATAAGTGTTGTTTTAAGCCTCTAGGTTTCAGAGTCATTTGTTACACATCAATCCATAACCAATACCTTTGTGTCCCCTGGGGACAGGATAGACGGCATGGAGTGAACGCGAGAGACTCGAGGAGCTCTTTTAGAAGTCACTGTGAACGCCTCTATGAGAAACCAAAGCTGCTGGAAGGAGCACCAGGACACCACCAGGAAGTAAGCCCAGTGGCCACATTCACAGGAAGTCACTTGAGAACAAGTAGGAACTATAAGAAGACCCCTAATCAGAGCTTCAGCTGGTGGGCTCTGAGTCAATCTGGCTACCACTGCCTTCCCCATCCGTGGTCCTGTCCTTGCTGAGAGCTGCCACTGGTATCACCATCTGGATTCTATTCTCTTCCCATCCAGAGTCTATCAGCTATGAGCCCAACAGTGAGGGGACCATTTACAGCTGGGGGCCCACCTCCTCCTCTTGCTTTCTGCTTCCTCCCTCTTCCTCTGGCACATCATGTCTTTTATCCTTTCCCATATTTGTTGTCTTGGTTACATGGCCAGACTCCTGATATGCTGCTAGTCTTCATTTTAATGATACGTTCTTGTAAAGCACAATATTTTACTTCAATTGCATGTGTCACTGGATGAATTCCTCCAGCGCGTCTGGCATTTGAGCATCAGCTGACTGAGTGAGCTCTATGATTTGGGGTGTTTCTGCAGCACTTTCTTCAATTTTCATGTCTGCGTTTTAATTTATGATCAGGATCATTCTACACAAATGTATATAGATAGATAGATAGATAGATACACATGCACATATGATTCAAAAAAAAATGGCACACATGTATCAATTAATCTTGAACTGGCAAAGCTCACCTAAAACCATCTCCTTAAATCATGTGCAGTAGCAATGATCATTTGGAAAATAGGATGACAAATGTTCCCAGGGTAGTATTTTCTGGGGATCTCAAAGTGTGTCTCAAGAGGACACCAGGAGGAGAATGGGTCTAAGCCCCAGCTCTTGGCATCGAACTGCCTTGGGAGGGGCTGCAGCAGATGTGAAATTGGGAGGACACCACCCCAACCCCACTCAGGTCAGCACTGGTGACCACTTGAGATCTCTACCAGGGACCTGCAGGGACAGTGGGTAAGCCTCAGGGCCAAGTAGTGAAAAGTAAGATAGGATAAGAAAATAGTGCCAGTGAGGACACATTTACATAAAAAGGATGGTTGAGTGAGGGCTTGATATTGTTCAAGAATATAAGATATACCCAAGAGGATACTGCCAAGGTTAGCTGGTTTCCGTATCTCCTGGGTACAACATGGACAAAAAGGCCTACGACCTAGTGGAGGAGACGGAAACGAGGTGGGAGGAGGACCGTGAGATGTGGACGGGTGGGCACAAGGTGAAGCTGGTCTGAGGGCCAGTCCCAGGATCCCCAGGCTTGAAGGACTGAGGACCCAACAGCTGTCTCTCTGTCCCTGCTCAGATGTGAAGTCAGAGGAAGGAGGGGCCCCCCGGAACATCTACTGTGCTCTCCTGTCTACGACACCCTCAGCCTCAGCCTCCCCCTCACTTAACTCACAGGTTAAGATCTATACAGGCTTACTACTTGCAAAACCAGGGGTGGGAAATGCAAAAACAGAACACGATGAAAATAATCAAAAAGAAAAAAGAAAAGAAAAAGAAGCTTTGATGGACTCCTCCCATAATGGAAATTGTCCAGCAATGATTCTTCCATATTTCTCTTCTGCTTGGGTATCCAAACACATGCAAACTGGCCAGCAGCTCTGGTTTGAGAAACTCCTAACATGTCAGAGCAAACTGACCAAACCCTACACCAGGTATACTCGGCCTCTGCTCTGATGGCAGGGCCCTGGGCAAGCTGGAGTTCCAGCTGTATCTCTATTGGATTTTGTGATGCCTCCAGCCATCTGGAGAGCCTTCTGGGGCATGAATTTCTTTTTAGTTAAAGTCGAGTTAAATTTCCAGGTGAATGTTAAGGAGAATTCTCAGATACACTGAGGAAGTTGCAGGGCAGGGGCCACGCATCTCTGATCTGGTATTGCTCTGTGACTCAGGCATTACAGAAACACATACACACAGCACCCATTCCTGAGAACTTATGTTCAGAACGACACAGCTTCAGGTGGGTCTCCCTCCACCTCTGGCTGGTTGCCTTTCTGGACCCATAGTCAGGGCCTACAGAACATGAGCAAATCAATTTCAAATAGGCTCAGACAGAGAAAGACAAATATCATATGTATCACTTATGTGTGGAATCTTTAAAAAATAGGATACAAATGAACTTATATACAAAACAGAAATAGACCCACAGACATAGACAACTTATTATTACCAAAGGGGAAAGGCGGGGGAGGAATAAATTAAGAGTTTGAGATTAGCGTATACATACTTCTATATATAAAATAGATAACCAATAAGGAGCTACTTATTGGCATAGCACAGGGAACTACGCTCAATGTTTTGTAATAATCTGTAAGGGAAAAGAATCTGAAAAAAGAAAAGATAGATAGATAGATATGTATAACTGAATCACTCTGCTGTACACCTGAAACTAACACAACACTGTAAATCCACTATATTTAAATAAAGTAAAGCAAAATGTAAAAATAATTCAAAGAGGCTCAAGAGAAAAAGATTAGGAAGACTGAACTAATCTGCATGACAATTCCCAAGAAGAATGACTTTGTGTTATCTACTGCTGTTGACCCTCCATGCTGACACACACCCAATTCCTATCCAGAGGGGCTGGTATGGCGTGCTTTGCCCATGTGTGTGCTCACATGTGCACACACGCCCATCCTACGACAAGCCAGTAGCAGGGCCAGCCAGGGTTCTGCTTAACCAACACCCATCAAGTGTTCTGCCCCTTCGTGTGAGCAGTTCAACCTAACAAAACACCCAGGAAAGATGCAAATCACAAAATGAAAGGAGCAAGCACACCTCAAGTAGAAGTTTATGATGTTTTGGTTCACAATGAACATTACTCTCCCCCTAATGTCAGGCAGTAATTCACTGCTGAACAGCAGCCATAAAATATGATCACTTAGCGGTAAAAATGTGACAGAGACAGAGAAAGCAGGGTGGACTTCTGGCTGGAATATTCAAGCAAAGAGGTCTCGTCCTTCTGAGGCAACACTGACCTCGTTACCCCAAGCCGGTTCAAAGTTTTCCAGATTTAAACGGACATCTTAAAGCAAATCAGGATGCTGTTTGCCTTAAGAGTTTTCCCTATAGTTGAAATTGCAATAGTCTGTGACTTATTCCTAACTTCCTAGGCACCTCCTGATGAGTGGAGCATTTATGTGCCACATTTCTTAACAGCCCATGGAAAAGGATGCCAATGCCAGCTGTAGCACACACACATCAGAAAAAATAAGACGTCCAAATTGGTACTCTCCTCACCTCCTTTCCCCCTGCCTCATGTGATGTGTGCACTAAAGGAGTGAAATTACGGTCATCAGAGACAAGGTCGCAAATGATGGGGACCCACACCTTTCAAACAAAATGAAAAGGCAGTAATTTTGAAGGCAGCCCATGGATAGCTACAGTCTAGCTCCTGGACCCCTGAAACTCACAGCAAACTCCCTTACTCTTAGCAAACCTCCCAACCCCCTCCCACCCAGCCTTCCCACCTTGAGTCCCTTGTCATATTGCAGAGAACTTCTGTGAGGTCCTTGATACACACGGGAGATTATTACAGGGCTCAGAGAAACCAGCTCTGTAATTACGGCGACAGTGTGATTTCCATTATTCTCGCCCCCTGGTTTCAGTAGCTCACAAAACTTCCTGCTAAGTCCTCCTGCAGTCCCAGAGCTTTTCATGGCTGGGCCTCTGCCCAAAAGGTGAATGGAGTCCTGATAACCTCTTGGAAAAGCAAGGCAGAGTTATTACAAGGAAAGGGGAGTGGTGCTCAGCGAGCAAGGGTGCTGGGAAATTCTATTGTTTAGAAAAAATAAATAAACTGGCCAGTTTCGCTTTTTATTATTTCAAACAACAGACTCGGCGGCCCGGCTTTCCTTTACCAACTCAGACTGTCCCCCTGGGCCAGCTGTGCTGAGTCTGCAGGAGGGTAGCTGAGCTTCAGCTAAACTATTAAAAAGGCTCCCGCTCAGAGCTCGTGGAGCAGAAAGTTTGGCTGCCCTGATGGCCTGGCCTTCCCCGGGAGGGCCACTGGCTCATTCCCCCCGACGTGACCTCTGGTCTTACCTCTCAAATGTTTATGCTTCACCAGTCCCACTATAGTTCTGGAAATTAAATGTAATGTCCCAGGTGGCTGAAACAGAACTGTTCTTATATAAGCCCTCCCACCCCCGCAAAGTAAAAGATGAGAAAGGCCAGCCCACGGTTTATAAAGTCCCAAGGCTCCCGGTCAAGTGTTGCCTGTCATTGCTGGCCTGGATGACCTGTGGGGACACTTCAAGGCAAGGCTTTGCCCACAGCCTGCCCCATGAGGGATGTCTGTGTGCGCTTGGCCTGCCCAAGCTCCCGGAGGTGTCCTCAGCCCACACTCGTGGAGATGGGCTGCATTCTCACCTCCCATCAGGAGGCCGGCTTCCACAGGGGAGAGGGAGCCAGCCCCCATGAGCCTCTGTCCACCCTCTGACCAAAAACACACATTTGCAAGTCGACCGTCTTGGGTTTACGATGCAGCCATGGCCAAGAAACATCTCCCCCCCCGGCCACCAAAAGAAAACAACTTTCTGTTCTGTTATGTGCACTGAATTTTCAAAGTTTATTTCACTGACACCATATACCAACCAGCTCAGACAATAGCAGAAAAACAAAACAAAACAAACCTTCTACAGGGTCTACTTGGTCTGGCCAGAAAGTGAAGGATCCTCTGGCACCTGGTAGGAAGTTTAGGGGGTGGGCATGTTTCAGCACACTGCAGGAAGTCTCCTCTCCCTTGCACTGAGATTGGGCTCAGGAGAGACAAGAGCTACAGCACCCCAAATTTCCTTGCTTACGTATTTACCCTCAACAGTACTTATACACCCATCGGGGCAAGCAAAGCAGGTCAACACATTTCACTGTGTCAACTGCATACGGGAATGCTTTTGGTATTCAGACTTCGCATTGCCAGCAAATCAAATTCCTTGACTCTTAGTGAAGAATGAAGTCATCTGAGCAGCTAACGGAAACGTCCCGGCGGCCCCTGCTCTACAGCCCGTGGACTTCCCTCCTCGATTTATACTGAGGCTTATCAGACACAATTTCAGCAAGCTTGGTTATCTGATTTCCTAGCTCACTGAAAGCTGGAAGCCACAGACTGAGGGAGGAAGAAAGGCGCTGACGTGGACGAGTACTTCCTGGCAGCATCTGCAAGTGCTGAGTGACACGGTGCGCTAGAAGAAGAGCCGGGAAGGCTACAGCGATCGAACACAACACACCTACACCTCCCAGCATCTTCCCTGGGCGTCCGCGAACCCCGTTCAACATGTGAGTAATAATCTAAACGAGAAGGTCAAGGCGGCAAGAAAACATTCAATTGTGTTTAATATATTCTTCACAGAAGGCAGACCATAAAATGTAATTCTTAAAGCTATATGGATGATGGTTAAATTATTTGTTAACTTGACACAGAAGGCAGCACACTACAATGAGGTGGGCAATCCCAGACGCGTGGAGTGTTGCCTGCATCACCCTTGCAGCGAGCCACGGCATTTCCCCAACCTATGTTTCTTCTTCCAGCTGCTACGCATGTAACTGCTCCACACACATTCCCACCCCCCACACGCTCTGCTCCCCACCTCTCCCCTTCCAGCCCCACTGCCTGTTCCACAGAGACGTACATTCTAAAGAAAAAAACAACTGCTGAAATGGGCTGTCACACAGCAGGATGGGAGAACAGGCACAGTCCCTAGATTTGCAGAGAGCATTTCCCCTTGACCATCAAGCTAACACCCACAAATACAGCAAAGAGAAAAGCAGGCATCAAAATTCAGTCTCAGATCAGGCAGTGCCGCTTTATCCATCTGAATCACACAATGTCCAGTTAATTCCAAGGGAAGCCTAATTAAAACAAGCAGGATCTCCACATGGAGTCATCAATATTTCCCGGGGAAAAGACTCAAGTATGATATTCAGCCAACAGAAAACAGGACCTACTGCCTAGAGTCTTAGAAAGGCTTTTAATCCAAGCAAGGAGGGCACCCTATGGGGCCAGCACCAACTCACTGAGATAAGAAACCAAGCAGAGGTGGGCGAGAAAATAGTTCTGGATAGATAGGGGCCCCCAACACGGCGGATGGGCCAAGGCCACCCAGTGCCCCTGAAGCCAGCAAGCTTCTGGAGAACGAGGAGGAAAACTCACGTCCCCAGATCACGCGGTTCTACTCCCCCTAGGGCAGTTCTGTGCCCCCAAAACATCCAGGGTTTCCCCATCCCACGACTTGGCTCTTAGCCCTAACAGCAACTCCAGCAGGTACTACACTTTCCTCTGTCGGCTTCCCTGAATGGAGTCCAGATGGATGCACCAGCCAGAACGGCTGAAGCAGGAGGAACAGGCATATCCCTTGCCCCCGTCCATCCTCCTCAACCACCCAGGCCTCATAAAGCTATTGTCTTGGGGCATAAGCCCAATTTGGACAGAATACACCATATTTAGAATGGCCTAGCAACCTGGAGATGTGCACCTCTCAGGAGCACACCAGCCCAACGGAAGAGATGGGTCCACACACTCACCCACTGTGAGTCCCACAACAACCCTGCACGTGAAGGCAGATAAAGGACAAGAGTAGCATTGATGACCTCAACAGCAACACAGCTCCTTAGCTCAAACCTGTATCATTGCCAACCAGGCCCAAGGTAGTGAAAGAATGCGAGAGAACATCCATCCTGGCGGGGACAGGCTGTCTCCACAAGAACCAAAATGTCTACACCTTGTCCTACCTTCTTCAGCTTGCCACTCTTGGTGCCCACGAAGGCCAGAGAATGATTCTTGTAGACGTATGCGATGACAGAAGTCATGCGGTCCCTGTCCTCCGTGAAGACGGGGATGCCACGCACCATCTCAGACACGCCCAGGGGGGCGTTCATGTCCAGGCCACAGAAGTTGTCATCAATGGTTAAGAGCTGAAAATAAAGAAGGAGACAAATTAGAAGCGAAGCACCAGGGCAATGGGTGGAGGTACCGAGTCAGAGAACTCTGGAGCTGGAAGAATCCTTACAGATGGATCATCTGTTATAAATCCCTCCTTTATTACATGAGAAACTCAGCTCCAGAGAAACTCGGTAACCTGTCAACAGTCATCTAAGTAGGTTGCAGGACCATGGCAAAAAGTCACAGATCCCTGGAGTCTCTTTACACTATGCACGTGGTCTCTCTGCCCCTCCTCCAACCCCTCCAGGCACCATCTTGGTAGTTTAGACGGCCCATCATCACCATCCCTTGGGAAAGCACTGGGCCAGCACCCATGAGCATGGGCTCCAGACAGCCTTGCTGGGGAGTGAGAGGGGCGAGGTCTCCACATCTACACACTTACTGTTGAGCAGACACACAGGCGAGGACTCGAACGTGTGGAACAGAGAACTAGAAATGTTAACACATGTGCGACAACACCATGGCAGAGACATGTACAGACAATCGGTTGGGGAAAGGAGGAGTGGAAGGTTTGTGGATGAACTCAGCAGGCCACAGGTGCCTCACTGTGTCCCATTTCAGGCTCTCTGCTTCTTTTAGAACATGGCGAAGGAGGGCAGGCAGCCTGACCTTGTCATACCTTCACCAGCATTTCCCAAAGTGTCTTCCACCGGAACCCCAGTCCCACAAGATATTCTACCATAAACGGGCTCCTTGGGCAAATAACTCTGGGAAACGTACTGAAACGCAGTGCATTCTAACACTATGTGAGGCATTCCTAATTGTTACAAGAAGGGTCTGTAAAGTCTTTTTAGGAAGAAATGTGTTTAAAATTCTCTCAGCATTTTATTCCCTAAACCACTTTTTTGACCAGAACACCTCCTAGCATCCCTTAAAGAGACTATTTTTCCAGGTATCCTGTGGGACACACTGACCCAACTCTTGCTTCTGACTCTGGGACAATTTCAGCAGTCAGGGAAGAAACAAGAAAAATCTCTGGCCCATTTCCCTGCACCCCCCACAGTGTTCTAGCTGAAATTCTCCCCGTTTTATTCCAGGCTCCCGGACCCCCATGTAAGCAGAGGGTCACAGCTAGGGAGTCCTACTGGGGAGTGCAGAAGACCTTGACAATGGCTGGTGAGGGGCCTCCAGAGCCCTCCACTGAGCAGCTCTGGGTTGGCACAGATCTCCCCGAGGTGCTAGGATCCTGCACTGGGTTTCCCCTTTTTTCTCAGAAGAACTGCGTGCTCTTAGAAGACTCATTCCATCTTCCTGTGCTTTTATTTTCCACTCTATAAAGATGAAGGAAACAACCTCTGCCTTTTGATGAGCTTCCATAAAGCCTATAGAGCTCATGCCTGTAAACGTCTTAGGACTTTGCAGAGAAAGGAGTGAAATAAAATACAAGGTGTCATTTCTTAAAGGCTTCAATCCAGCCAAAGGAAGAGGCATCTGGAGAACCAGCAGGCAGGCTCTTGCCAGTGGAGCTGCGTGAAACCGGCCCACTCTGCGCTTTCCAGGGATGCGGGGGTTCCCTCAGCTCTCTCCCAGCAGTGCTGTCCATCTCAGGGAAGACAATGTGCTGAGCACCGACACCCTCCCTCTTATCGTGGTGGGAGCAGCCAGGGCAGGGGGGGAGAGAGCATGGGCGGGCTCGGCAGGCCACGTGCAGAGCAGACGACTGCGCGACGGCTGGCACTGCCTCTGGCCTCTATTGCTGGGTCTGGCCCAACAGCCCGGACCAAACGCACCTCACCCCTTCAAAAACAGCTATGGGAGTCAAAGGTGGGAGGAAACTTTCAAGGTCTCGTCTGATCTTTATGGTTCTTTCCTAAAATGAGGAAATGGGGGCAGGGGGAGACAGAGTGGAGAGAGAAAGAGATGGACAGAAGAGAGGAAGGAAAAATCCAGATAAAGGGCAGCCAGTGTTTTCTCCCTGCTGGACTTACGTAACTGCCGTGACCTGCCAAGCATTCAGAGGGCAGCTGAGGAATCTTCATGGCCTTGCATGTTCCTGCCTCTGGTTCAGAAGGAGTCCTCATCCTGGACTTTCTGGGCCCTAAACTGTGCTGCTGGGACTTCTACCATTAGCAAAAGGACCTCAACCATTTTCCAAGTAGGTGAGACCGAATGATTGTCTGCTCCGCACAAGGGGATACTGAGGCAGGGAGCGAGGCACAAATACACGCCTCATTGACCTGATAAGGCTCAGGCCGCTCAGCCCCCCGAAACTACATTTCTGAGTGGCCAGTTTCCAAATACCATTCTTCTTCGCTGGGCAGAACACGAGATAAAAACCAACCACGTGCAAAAAGAGAGTGTGCATTCAGCCAGTTGCCACATTAAATCCCTGCTTGCTCAGAGGCAGAAAGTCAGGGACTTGCAAGTCTCTGCCACTGCGGCATCTTGCATGTCAAGGGGCCAAGTAAGGAATGTTTTCATCGGAAGGAAGTGAGGACAGCTCAGCCTGGTGGCCTGGCAGCTAGGACTCTGCTGGTTTCAGCTCATGACAGCTCCCTGCTAGGCCCCATCAGGAGGCAGGTCTCGGGTTCCTCACCTGTACCTGACAGGTACACCCCGCACTGCCTACCTTGTGGTATTGTCACCAGGCTCAGATGAGGCAAAGGGGACAACTGGGGCTCCTACCGTTGGGCCGAGATTCCAGGGATGATGGCTTCTCGCCCAGGCTCACCTGTGCCTCGATTCCTCCCTCTGAGTGGGGCCCCAGGTGATGAAGGGGTGATGGAGGCCTTTGACCAGGAGCAGCCCGGGTCTGCATGGATGCTGAGGCCCCCTGGCTATGGCGTGGGGTGGGAAGGGGCTTACTCCTTGTTTCCTCAAAGCGGGGGTGACAGGGGAGGGAGTTTTAACACTGAAGTCGGGGAAAGCACAGGTCTCGCGTCCACGGGCAGCAGAGCTGCTTCCCAGCTGCACATCTTGGCACAAGCTGCTCCTGTCCTCTGGGCCTCACCTTCCTTGACAGTAAAATAGCAAGACGGGCCCATCCCGAGGCCTAGGTGAGATATCAGGTGTGAAGACGCCGGCTAAACTGGAGAGCCCTTCATTAAGGTAAGGTGGGATTTCATGTTAATTTTTTTAATGGAAATCCTGCCCAGAACAGAAGTAGGATGGCGGCAGGGAGTGGCCCTTGCACGCCCCCCCCCCCCCCCCCCCCCCCCCCACCCCCGTCCGTGCGGCCCGCGAGGCCCTCGACCTGCACCCGGCCGCCCCCACTGGCGCCCAGCCACGGCGCCGCCGCCTGTGTGCCGGTGTGTCCCTCCACAGCACCGTCCGGCAAAAGACCCCCGCGCCCCGCCCCGCCCCGCCCCGCCCCCATCCACCCCTAACCCGCCTACCCCCCCCCCACACACCCCCCCCCCCCCCCCCGGCCAGAGCACAGCTCTCTAAGGACACCACCTGCTGAGTTTGAGCTGAAGCCACAGAGTAATAACTGCACTGGGAGCAGAGGAGAGAGGAGGGAGAGTCCCGCAGGGCCCGCAGACCTCGGGGGCTGGGGTGTAGGGAGCAGATGCCGGGCCCCTGGAAGGGAAGGCTAATGGGCGAAAGCCTTCCACGGGTAAGGGTTGGTGCAGATTCCTGAGCACCCTGGGCAACGGGGGAGTCTGGTCCTGGCCGAGCCCTCCCCTGGGCCCCTTAACGGCAAGATTAGAGCGGCAGCCAGAGGAGCCAGGAAGGGACTGGGCTCTGCTGTAAGCAGGGGCCCAGCAGGCCTGCAGGCCCAGATTGCACCTCTCCCCTGCCACTCCATAAATACCCACGGATGAGCTATGGCCACTGCTACAGTGCTTACTCATTAGACAGCAGCTTCATTCTTACCAAGGAAAGAAATTAGGGTCTGCTGCATGGGAATATATGTGGTAGGCAACCCTGTGAATAGACCTCAAGGCCTTAGACAGGGCCACACCCTCTGGGGTCCCTTCTGCCCCATCAGGAAGATACCAAATCTGCTTTCCATAAATGTCCTCATGGGGTACCTGGCTTATAAATTAAGATTGGTGATCCACTGGATTCCAGGGACCATGAGCTCAAGGATGGGACTATGTTTTACCCATGTCTGTACCCTTAGCTTGGTTCCTGGTTCACAGTAGGTTAAGACATACACGTTAAATGGATAATGGATGGATGGATGGATGGATAGATGACTAAATAAAGGCTTGAGTCCCACAGTGGCTAGCACTGTGGAACTAGGGTCAGAATGCCTAGGTTTGAATTCCAGCTCCACCATTTAATGCTGTGTGACCTTGGGCAAGGTATTTAACTTCTCTGTGCCCCAGTTTATCATGGGTAGTATAGGGATAATAATTATAGCATATACTTCCCGGTGCTGTGGTGAGGATCAAATGACTAATACATGTAGAACAATGTCTGGCACTTAGTAAGTGCTAAGAGAGTGTTGGCTCTTATTACTGTTGGTCACATCCTTAGACAATTCAGATAACTTTTGTGAGTCTTAGCATCTTTGGGGAAATTCATGATATCCACCTCGTAGAGGTGTGATCAAGATTAAAGGGGCTAATGTTACCAAGATGAAATAGCAAAGGTGGTACTTCCTAGAGATCAGGCCAATGAGGCTGAATGAAGGAGCAGATAAATAGTCTTAAGATCCAGAAGAGTTGCGCTACTCATCAGAAATGTGAATTCTCGGGCCCCGCCCCAGATCTACTGGATCAGAAACTCTGGATGTGGGGCTCAGAGATCTGTACCTTAACCCCTTCCCAGCGCTTTCGTAAGAAGCACCCTCCTAGATCACCACAGGCGTCCCTTCCTTGCTGAGGGTGCTATAGACCGGCCCAGGAGAGAACGGCACGTGACAAGCGTAACCACTGGAGCAGGACCCACTGGACCCGGGGGGAGGGGCCCACGGCAGCCCCCCGAGCCGAGCAGCCGTGGTGGAGGTGGCGCGGGGAGCCGGAGCTGACACCCCGGATTACGATCTCACAGCTCACGGTGCTTCCCTCGCGGTAAAGGTTAC